AGAATTTGAGAAAGGTAACGGGAGGTTTTGATGTATGTATGTGTGTGCGCAAAAAATAAGGTGCACACACAGATACATGGATAAGTAGATATAGATAGATAAATAGATATAGAGAGATAAATAGATATAGATATAGATATTGATATAGATACAGATATAGATAGAGCTATAGATATGTACGCATACACATATCTGCATGTGCGTGTGAGTATGTATACACGTGCATGTACGTAAGAGAGCGATTCTGCAGTGAGAGAGGAATGAGATGCAGGGATGACTGGCTCTCCTGGCGCCTAATCATAAGCAGATCAGACGCTTCCGAGCTTCACAATGGCGCCGAAATGAAGACAATTAATCCCCATTAAACCTCCTGGCTGCATCGGCGTCACTCCGGTCGACAGCAATTTCGACGCTGAATTATAACTGAACTTAGGTGGAAAGTAACCGACGTTCATATCTCTCTCTCTGTATATATCATTCTTTCTTTCTCTCTCTCTCCTCTTTCTCATTCTCTTTCTTTCTCGATCTATTTCTCCTTCAATTTCCCTCCCTCCCTCCTTCGCTCCCTCACCCCCCTCTCTCCTCTCTCCCTCCCATCCTCTCTCCTTCTCCTTCTCTCTCACACCATTTATTCCCTTCTCTTCCAAGTCTAGAATGAATACTTTTTCAGAGCCCGAGCGACAAACATCCCAAAATCGACATTGTATTCGACGCGTTGGTTCTGTGTTGCATCATTTCGTGTGTCACTCTCGGATGCGCTCGACCGTGTACGCGTGATGCTCTTGAACGCGCACATAGCGTAGGTGTGTGTGTGTGTGTACATATGTCTGTGCACATGTATCTCTGGCTCTCTTTGTATATTTGTTTGTATTTTTTTAGGGATAATCTGTCTATAGTGTCAGTTTGTCTGGATTCCTGGTTTCTTGTCTGGAATTATATATATAAAAAGATCGGGACAGAGTGAGAAAGAGAGGGAGAAAGAGAGGGAGAAAGAGAGAGAGGGAGAGAGAGAGAGAGAGAGAGAGAGAGAGAGAGAGAGAGAGAGAGAGAGAGAGAGAGAGAGAGAGAGAGAGAGAAAGAGAAAGAGACAGAGAGAGAGAGAGAGAGAGAGAGAGAGAGAGAGAGAGAGGGAGAGAGAAACAGAGAGAGAGAGAGAGAGAGAGAGAGAGAGAGAGAGAGAGAGAGAGAGAGAGAGAGAGAGAGAGAGAGAGAGAGAGAGAGAGAGAGAGAGAGAGAAAGAGAGAGAGAGAGAGAAAGAGACAGAGAGAGAGAGAAGAGAGAGAGAGAGAGAGAGAGAGAGAGAGAGAGAGAGAGAGAGAGAGAGAGAGAGAGAGAGAGAGAGAGAGATATGTTGCAATGAGCGTATGATTATTCAATCATACATTCATCCATACGCATGTACACACTTAAGGTATGTATGTGAAAGTTCCGTTCTCACTTTCCGCTGAGTGACACGTTAGAAGAAAAAGCACATGAAAAAAGAAAATGAAAAGAAAGAAAGACTACGAATAAAAATAAATCAACAAAAAAAAACAAAATCACACACATAAAAGGCTCCTCCATTAAGACTAACACTCAAACCTCATCATAAATATCACTTAGCCTGACTTAGATTCAAACTAAGAATACCATCAAGGAGAATATAATTATCTCATATCAAAAGATCAACCTTTTTTTCGATTAAATAAATTTCTCGCCGTGACGAAAATGGGAGACGCTGGAATTCGCACCTACATTAAGAATTTTATATTTTTTCCTATCTATTAACTTCTTCATAAGTGCATAATCTTTTGCAATAATAGCATTCTCATCTCCACTACAAAAATATACGTGTTGCATAATAGACCTCGCTCACTGAAGTAAAATCCTCATCTCCATCACGTCTTGGGAGACAAAAGCATAGCAAATGAAAAGCACATAATCTATTTTAAACAAAACATAGTACCAAGTAATATCCTTCACAATAGAGGCAATACCAATGGCTTCGTGATATCTAAAATGAGATTTCCCAAACCATAAACTTAGCATCATCTCAAGACACATCTTTGGCTACATGAAAAGGATCGTCCTCTGTACAGTGAATCGTATAGGGTATTATGAACGTGCTACAGTATACCCTGAGGTGATGCAAGGTGCTGATGGAAGGAAATAGAGAGAGAAGAAAAAATGGGATGAAAGGATGACTGGTAGGATATTGAGGAATAGAGGGGGCGAGAGAGAGAGATAGATAGATAGATAGATAGAGAGAGAGAGAGAGAGAGAGAGAGAGAGAGAGAGAGAGAGAGAGAGAGAGAGAGAGAGAGAGAGAGATAGTTAGAGTTAGAGAGAGAGATCTTGCTCATTATTCAGTCATACATTAATTCATATACATTTGCACATTTTAGGTGTGATAGAGACAGGCAGACAGTCACACACACCGAGAGGAGAGACAGATAGAGAGAGAGAGAGAGAGAGAGAGAGAGAGAGAGAGAGAGAGAGAGAGAGAGAGAGAGAGAGAGAGAGAGAGAGAGAGAGAGAGAGAGAGAGAGCGAACACCCTACGGCTGCTATGGACATATATACACACCTAAGTATTTGAAAAAAAAAAACATAAAAAGGAAAAAGGTTGTTGCCATCCAACGAAAGAGAGAAAAAAATAGTTTCGCATGTGCAATGAGCATCTTTGAATTCTTGTGAGTGACAGTACCTTATTTACAGCAGATACGTAAAACCAGTTGGGCAACATCGGCGAGTGCGAAATGCAAACAAAAACAAAAACAAAAAAACAGATAAAATACCTCAGATAATCCATTTTAGCTTAGGAGCTGTATAAGGTCGGTCTAGAGTTTGCATGATACTGTTGTTGCGAATACTGATATGACAGAAAAATAAGCAACCCACTCGACACTTTTGAAAAATCACACCAAAAACTTATTACGGATTAGACAGCCCCATAAGTAAAACGGAAATTGAGAATAATGCAAAAATAAATACACCACAAAATCCTATCACTCTCTCTACATGCGGAAATGTAGAAGAAGACAAAGAAAGTACATCATTAAGAGCCTTTTTTTTCCTATCAAGATTCAGGTAAGTGCCAAAGCCTTCCGGACGTAGAATTTGCATCTATTTGCATCTATCAGTATTCAGAGACAGCCACGTCCTGGAACCTGCCTGGAACTTGTCTCTGGAGGAGGGGAAGGAGGGGGGGGGGCTCCCGTCCTGATTATTATGCACACACGTACGTTCCTCTGCATCTCGGATTTTTTAGATAGAAATGAAAGAAGTTGATAATGATATGTAATAACGGATGCGTTCAGGGAAAAAAGGGAGAGAACCAGATTGCTTTGCACTTTTTCTTTTTTTTATTTGAGTGGGTGGAGTGTGGTTCATCTCAATTATATCGAATATGGAAGTCCAAGAATCTGATATTTTACAAAATTTGTTCTGCATTTAGGCCAGTGACCTGTAGTAAGTCTTAATGATAGATATAACGGTCCATGCCGTGCCATTTTTATCATTTAGCTCTTTATAAATTTTGAATGTTAATCCAATGCTATCAGAAGTTTGCAGTATATAAAGGATATAGGGATAGTGAAAACATATAGATTTCTTTTATTTGTTTATTTATCAAAACGCAGCAAGAAGAATAACAGCGGTCATGTTGCTGTCGTTCTTGATCTCTCGCTTTCCAAGGAGACTGTTGAAAGGAGAGACAAATACGGTTTGATTGTTGCTATAATTATTTCTGTTGATTTTATCTCTTAGTAGTACTGTCATTGCCAGTTATTGTTATTGCTGTCATTATTGTAATAATATATCAAGGAGATTACCTTGCTGAATCCCTATACCATGTTGGATAAGACTGCATTCCAAAGAACCTCCTCTCGGGTGTGCGAGTCGAAGTTATCATCAAGGCGGCCAAGGAAATCATAACAGCATCCTTACTCGACCTGATTATTTCACCAACAACTAAAATAATTAAAGTTGCACGCCAATCAAAGCCCGTTGCGACTCAGTTAAAAGATGATTGATATGACCTTCCCAGCGGGGTCGTTCTGATTGCAGTTGGCCAACGACTACAATCGGCGAGAGGGCAATCGACAGGTCGCCGGACGATAAATAAAAGGGAATCAAGGTTATGCGACGTTCCTTTCATCACCTTTCATCATACAGTTAGGATCATAAAGCTAAACATCGTGAACGTTCATTATAATACACTAATTAAAAGAAAAAAAAGAATACTTACAAAAAACATGTGAAGGAAGTAGATAATCTACAGGAAAAAAAATAATGGACTACAGGAAAGTGACCATTGCTCTCTGGCGCTCACCCTTCGCGACCATGTATAACGGTGAACACTCTTGGCCCCTGACCTTGAGTGACGAGGGTCATGATGACAGATGAAAACAATAAACACAAGAGGAAATTGGCAAACGCAGAGATGACATACGAAAACTCTCCATCTCCTCAAAGAAAAAGCACAACAGAAAACATGTATTTTCGAGAGGAGGCGAGTGACAGGATCAGATGATGATGTTTAGCCTCTGTCATGGAAACGTTGCAGGCGGACAAAGACACACGTCCTTGGGCATTTTAAGCCATTGGAACTAACACTAAACAAATCGAATCTGTAAATAATAGAAGAAACACGCAGACGAGAGCTTGTTGAAAAAGGTTTGTCATGCTTTGATGAAAACTTTTTCATTTTTTTAAAAACTGACATCATGACACATATGACGGACTCGAACGGTATATTTAACGGCTTAGAGAATGTGTTTGGAAGAGAAGTTCATATTTAGAAGTAAGTACAAAATGCATGGTATACGTTATAAAACGTTTCACCGGGAAATACATGAACGCCATCTGTTCACGGGAGGCCAGGAACCACAGCAACCGTCTGCACAGATGAGACCTGAAGATATTCTGTCGGGAATCGCCAGAACAAAGAAAGTCTGCACCATCCTGCCTGATATCGCTTTCTGAAGATATCAAGAGCCAGCCTATCTGGAGACACCCTCCATGCTCTCAAAGGAAGCCTCAGTGAAGTCAGCATCACTGGTGACTTTCTCTGCACAGATAATAGACATCAGCAACCACCTTACATAAAATCATGTATGGGAATCGCCCTGCCTGAAAACACCCTCTGTGAAGACCTGTGGAAACAGTGAAGAAATTATGACCTACTCTGCCTGAAGATATACCCTCTGTGAAGACGAGGGGACTGCCCTTGTGAAGACGTGAACACGTCGGGAACAAACCGGTTTGTAGAATACGTTAGGTTTTTTTCCCAGATGACCTAACCTAACCACTGGGTAGACGTCAGGAACCACTCTGGCCGAAGACATCCACTGTGAAGACGTTAGGAATCACTCTGCCCGGAGACCCCCGCTGTGAATACCCAGGAATCACTCTGCCCGAAGACACCCCCTGTGAAGACGTCAGGAACCACTCTGCCTGAAGACATCCACTGTGAAGACGTCAGGAATCACTCTGCCCGAAGACACTCCCTGTGAAGACGTCAGGAATCACTCTGCTCGAAGACACCCACTGTGAAGACGTCAGGAACCACTCTGCCCGAAGACACCCCCTGTGAAGCCGTCAGGAGCTACTCTGTCTGAAGACACCCCCTGTAAATCACTCTGCCTGAAGACACTCCCTGTAAAGACGTCAGGAATCACTCTGCCTGAAGACACTCCCTGTGAAGACGTCAGGAATCACTCTGCCCGGAGACACCCCCTGTGAAGACGTCAGGAATCACAGTGCCCGAAGACACCCCCTGTGAAGACGTCAGGAATCACTCTGCCCGAAGACACCCACTGTGAAGACGTCAGGAACCACTCTGCCCGAAGACACCCCCTGTGAAGACGTCAGGAATCACTCTGCCCGAAGACACCCCCTGTGAAGACGTCAGGAATCACTCTGCCCGAAGACACCCTCTGTGAAGACGTCAGGAATCACTCTGCCCGAAGACACCCCCTGTGAAGACGTCAGGAACCACTCTGCCCGAAGATACCCCCTGTGAAGACGTCAGGAATCACTCTGCCCGAAGACACCTCCTGTGAAGACGTCAGGAATCACTCTGCCCGAAGACACCCCTGTGAAGACGTCAGGAATCCCTTGCCCGAAGACACCCCCTGTGAAGACGTCAGGAACCACTCTGCTCGAAGACACCCCCTGTGAAGCCGTCAGGAGCTACTCTGTCTGAAGACACCCCCTGTGAAGACGTCAGGAACCACCCTGCCCGAAGACACCCCCTATGAACACGTCAGGAACCACTCTGCCCGAAGACACCCCCTGTAAAGACGTCAGAAATCATTCTGCCCGAAGACATCCGCTGTGAAGACGTCAGAAACAACTCTGCCCGAAGACACCCATTGTGAAGACGTCAGGAATCAGTGTCTGAAGACACCCACTGTAAAGACGTAAGGAATCGCTCTGCCGGAAGACACCCCCTGTGAAGACGTCAGGAATCACTCTGCCTGAAGACACTCCCTGTGAAGACGTCAGGAATCACTCTGCCCGAAGACACCCCCTGTGAAGACGTCTGCCCGAAGACACCCCCTTTGAAGACGTCAGGAATCACTCTGCCCGAAGACACCCCCTGTGAAGACGTCAGGAATCACTCTGCCTGAAGACACTCCCTGTGAAGACGTCAGGAATCACTCTGCCCGAAGACACCCCCTGTGAAGACGTCAGGAATCACTCTGCCCGAAGACACCCCCTGTGAAGACGTCAGGAATCACTCTGCCCGAAGACACCCCCTTTGAAGACGTCAGGAATCACTCTGCCCGAAGACACCCCCTGTGAAGACGTCAGGAATCACTCTGGCGGAAGACACCTCCTGTGAAGACGTCAGGAATCACTCTGGCCGAAGACACCCCCTTTGAAGACGTCAGGAATCACTCTGCCCGAAGAAACCCCCTCTGCCCGAAGACACCCACTGTGAAGACGTCAGGAACCACTCTGCCCGAAGACACCTCATGTGAAGACGTCAGGAATCACTCTACCCGAAGACACCCCCTGTGAAGACGTCAGGAGCCTCTCTCCCCGAAGACACCTCCTGTGAAGCCGTCAGGAGCTACTCTGTCTGAAGACACCCCCTGTAAATCACTCTGCCTGAAGACACTCCCTGTGAAGACGTCAGGAATCACTCTGCCTGAAGACACCCCCTGTGAAGACGTCAGGAATCACTCTGCTCGAAGACACCCCCTGTGAAGACGTCAGGAACCACTCTGCCCGAAGACACCCCCTGTGAAGCCGTCAGGAGCTACTCTGTCTGAAGACACCCCCTGTAAATCACTCTGCCCGAAGACACCCTCTGTGAAGACGTCAGGAACCACTCTGCCCGAAGACACCCCCTGTGAAGACGTCAGGAACCACTCTGCCCGAACACACCCACTGTGAAGACGTCAGGAATCACTCTGCCCGAAGAAACCCATTGTGAAGACGTCAGGAATCACTCTGCCCGAAGACACCCCCTGTAAAGACGTCAGGAATCACTCTGCCCGAAGACACCCATTGTAAAGACGTCAGGAACCTCTCTCCCCGAAGACACCTGTGAAGACGTCAGGAATCGCTCTGCCCGAAGACACCCCCTGTGAAGACGTCAGGAGCCTCTCTCCCCGAAGACACCTGTGAAGACGTCAGGAATCGCTCTGCCCGAAGAGACCCCCTGTGAAGACGTCAGGAACCACTCTGCCCGAAGACACCCCCTGTGAAGACGTCAGAAACAACTCCGCCCAAAGACACCTATTGTGAAGACGTCAGGAATCCTTCTGCCCGAAGACACCCCCTGTGAAGACGTCAGGACCTACTCTGCCTAAAGACGTCGGAAATCATTCTGCCCGAAGACACCCATTGTGAAGACGTCAGGAATCACTGTCTGAAGACACCCACTGTAAAGACGTCAGGAATCGCTCTGCCGGAAGACACTCCCTGTGAAGACGTCAGGAATCACTCTGCCCGAAGACACTCACTGTGAAGACGTCAGGAATCACTCTGCCCGAAGACACCCACTGTGAAGACGTCAGGAATCACTCTGCCCGAAGACACCCACTGTGAAGACGTCAGGAATCACTCTGCCCGAAGACACTCACTGTGAAGACGTCAGGAATCACTCTGCCCGAAGACACCCTCTGTGAAGACGTCAGGAATCACTCTGCCCGAAGACACCCCCTGTGAAGACGTCAGGAACCACTCTGCCCGAAGACACCCCCTGTGAAGACGTCAGGAATCACTCTGCCCGAAGACACCCACTGTGAAGACATCAGGAACCACTCTGCCCGAAGACACCCCCTGTGAACACGTCAGGAGCCTCTCTCCCCGAAGACACCTCCTGTGAAGACGTCAGGAATCGCTCTGCCCGAAGACACCCCTGTGAAGACGTCAGGAATCACTCTGCCCGAAGACACTCCCTGTGAAGACGTCAGGAATCACTCTGCCCGAAGACACTCCCTGTGAAGACGTCAGGAACCACTCTGCCCGAAGACACCCCCTGTGAAGCCGTCAGGAGCTACTCTGTCTGAAGACACCCCCTGTAAAGACGTCAGGAATCACTGTGCCCGAAGACATCCCCTGTGAAGACGTCAGGAACCACCCTGCCCGAAGACACCCCCTATGAACACGTCAGGAACCACTCTGCCCGAAGACACCCTCTGTGAACACGTCAGGAATCGCTCTGCCCGAAGACACCCCCTGTGAAGACGTCAGGAACCACTCTGCCCGAAGACACCCCCTGTGAAGACGTCAGAAACAACTCTACCCAAAGACACCCATTGTGAAGACTTCAGGAATCCTTCTGCCCGAAGATACCCCCTGTGAAGCCGTCAGGAATCAGTGTCTGAAGACACCCACTGTAAAGACGTCAGGAATCGCTCTGCCCGAAGACACTCCCTGTGAAGACGTCAGGAATCACTCTGCCCGAAGACACTCCCTGTGAAGACGTCAGGAATCACTCTGCCCGAAGACACCCCCTGTGAAGACGTCAGGAATCACTCTGCCCGAAGACACCCCCTGTGAAGACGTCAGGAATCACTCTGCCCGAAGACACCCCCTGTGAAGACGTCAGGAATCACTCTGCCTGAAGACACCCCCTGTGAAAACGTCAGGAATCACTCTGCCCGAAGATACCCCCTGTGAAGACGTCAGGAATCACTCTGCCCGAAGACACCCCCTGTGAAGACGTCAGGAATGACTCTGCCCGAAGACACCCCCTGTGAAGACGTTAGGAATGACTCTGCCCGAAGACACCCCCTGTGAAGACGTCAGGAATCACTCTGCCCGAAGAAACCCCCTCTGCCCGAAGACACCCACTGTGAAGACGTCAGGAATCACTCTGCCCGAAGAAACCCCCTGTGAAGACGTCAGGAACCACTCTGACCGAAGACACCTCATGTGAAGACGTCAGGAATCACTCTACCCGAAGACACCCCCTGTGAAGACGTCAGGAGCCTCTCTCCCCGAAGACACCTCCTGTGAAGCCGTCAGGAGCTACTCTGTCTGAAGACACCCCCTGTAAATCACTCTGCCTGAAGACACTCCCTGTGAAGACGTCAGGAATCACTCTGCCTGAAGACACTCCCTGTGAAGACGTCAGGAATCACTCTGCTCGAAGACACCCCCTGTGAAGACGTCAGGAACCACTCTGCCCGAAGACACCCCCTGTGAAGCCGTCAGGAGCTACTCTGTCTGAAGACACCCCCTGTAAATCACTCTGCCTGAAGACACTCCCTGTGAAGACGTCAGGAATCACTCTGCCTGAAGACACTCCCTGTGAAGACGTCAGGAATCACTCTGCCCGAAGACACCCCCTGTGAAGACGTCAGGAATCACTCTGCCTGAAGACACCCCCTGTGAAGATGTCAGGAATCACTCTGCCCGAAGACACCTCCTGTGAAGACGTCAGGAATCACTCTGCCCGAAGACACCCCCTGTGAAGACGTCAGGAATCACTCTGCCTGAATACACTCCCTGTGAAGACGTCAGGAATCACTCTGCCCGAAGACACCCACTGTGAAGAC